AATTAATTTTTATATATTATCTTTATAATTGTATTTTTATTTTAAATTAAAAATTTTAAATTTGAATTTTAAATTGAGTAGAAGTAATTTTTAAAAAAAATTATCTTTTACTATATAACCCATTTAAATGTATAAAAAATATATATAATTTTTCCTTTTGTATAATCCATTAAATGTACAAAATATATATTTATATATATATATATACACAATCTCTATTTCTCTTTTCTGCACCTCAATGGGCACAGTCTCTAAATCTCAAATTTTGTTTTCGATTTTTGTGAATGTTGAATATTGTGTCAAAATCTAAATCTGAATTGCACCATAATTAAAGAAAGTCTAATTTTTGTTGTTTAGGTGTTTGGTAATTAACAAGGGATATGGAAGATCAAGCTGCCTCAAAAGCCAACCACCACGTCTTTGATGTGTCTCTTGACGTCCTTCCTCCGGTTAGTGCCAATGTCGACGGCCGTCTCAACCGGATTGGTAACTAATTTATCCACTTCTTCAGAAACCTTTTTTTTTTCTTTTTTTGGTTTTGGGTCTCCAATTAATGTCATTATGCCGATCAACTCTCGGTAAATTTTACTCTAATTGGCTGGATAAGGATTAAGAACTTTCTTTTTCTTTTTTTTCTTTTTTTTTTAATTTCAGGTGAGTCTAGGGCCAACTTATGTGGGTGGGTTCAGTACTTGAACCATTTTGGATTCTCTGTTGGGTATACCATAATATCGCAACTAGCATGATGTGAGTTTCAAATTTGAATTTGATGATATTTTTGTTTTAAGTTCAATATTTCATCGTAATCTGTGCTTTGCAATGAAACAGGGCTATCAAAAGGTGTAATTGCATCCACAAGAATGGCAGTAAGAATCCGTACAATATGAGCATCAATCCTCATATAGTCATGTGATTGCTTTTGGAGTTGCGGAGATCATTTTTTTCTCAGATTTTTGACTTCCAACAACTGCGATGGCTGTCTATTGTTGCTGCAGTCATGTCCATTACTTACTCCACAATTGTACAGGGTCTTGGAATTACCCAAGTTGCAGGTCTTAAAACCTATCCTTAAAAGTCAACTTTAATTTATTGGATTGTTTAAAAGTTGAAAGTATTTGCCTGTTTTATTCCTAGAAAATGGAAAAAAATATGGGAAGTCTAACCGGAATAAGCATTGGCACTGTGACTCCAATCCAGAAGATGTGAACTTTCCGGGCTTTTGGAGATTTTGCTTTTGCTTATTCTTATTCCCTTGTCATTATTGAAATTCAGGTATACATATACATGTTCAACTTACCTTAATTCTCCAAAATTTATTCACTTCCTACTTTTATCAAGAAAGTATTTTATAATATGATACACCAACTATTAGATTAGAAAAAAGTTATCTATCTAATGGTTAGTATTTTGTAATTTGGTGACTCCTTTATTATAATTATTATGTAATTTGAACTAATGATAAATGATGTAATGATTTAACAGGATACCATTAGATCACCATCAGAATTCAAGACAATGAAGGAAGCATCTCTAGTAAGTGTTATATTGACTACCCTGTGTCTACATGCTCTGTGGCTGTATGGGTTATGCTGCATTTGGAGACTTAACCCCTGGAAACCTCCTCACTGGTTTTGGCTTCTATAATCCATTATGGCTCCTTGACATAGCCAATGCCGCCACTGTCATTCTCCTCGTTGGTGCTTACCAAGTTAATTGCCAACCACTTTTCGCTTTCATTGAGAAACAAGCAGCAGAAAGATACCCAGATTGGAAATTCATTACCAAAGAAACCAAAATCCCCCTTCTAGGAGGAGGTTTTCCACCTTACAATCTGAACCTCTTTAGGTTGGTTTGGAGGACAATTTTTGTGATCACCACCACCATCATCTCCATGCTTCTTCCCTACTTCAACCACGTCGTTGGACTCTTCCTTGCTGTGGGATTCTGGCCCCTGACAATTTACTTCCCAGTGCAGATGTATATCAAACGAAAGATGATTCTAAACTGGAGCATTCAATGGCTCTGCCTCCAAATCCTAAGCATTTCCTGCTTTATTATCACCATTGCAACAGCTCCTGGCTCTATTGCAGGACTTGTTGTTGATCTCAAGTCATACAAGTCTTGATCTTTAGGGTTTAAGTTTTTTTGTTGGATTGTGAACATAGGTCTGGGGCCATATATGTATCTTATCCCAAATTGTAATTTTGCTTATCATCGAACGCCGAAGAAATTACAAAACAGAGCATATACGTCATTCAGTTAGTTGATTTTCATTTCCAATTCTTGGGTCTCGTCTCTAACGAAGCCTCTTCTATTCCATAATATACATAAACATACCTGGATGAACTTGAGAGCATGCTCTTCGCCGGCGACTTGGAGATTACCGCTGAACAAGACAAGCAACCCACAAGTGGTACAGGACGGCAGGCAATCGAACGGTGGAGATACTATTCTGACACTGCTGGAAGGAGAGGCTGGTGAGTTTGGACACGATGTTTTGCCAGCCTTGGATCCTCTGACCTTCGAAGGACAACATCGAACCTTCCTGGTAGGGATTTGCAGGGCCGGTGCGATTCGCGCCGGAGGTGGTGAGACGTGTAGTAGTGCTCGACGAAGGCCATGATAGTGGAATTTCATGTCCAAATCTTGGGTCTCTATTGGAGCCTCTCCTCTTATTCCCTAATGTTGTTTGGGCGCAGGGTCCAATCATTGAACCATATGCAGGGCTAGGACGAAAGTAGGCCCTTTTAAAATTGGGTATGTTTTTTGGCCCTACAAATTGGGGAAACTTAGTTTCCCTTTTTGTTTTGGATATATACTGTAGCACCTTGCAGGCGCATTTAAGCCCCCAAACCACGAAAGACAAAAACGTACAAATACAATAAAAAGGTGAAATGATTTTTTTTTTCTTTCTGAACAAGGATAATTTTTAAAGATTGGAAAGATATTACAACTGTTCCTATAAACTATAGGGACTTGATCTTGGTATGGGCCGAGATTTGTGCTGCACATTTTCAGCCCAGCTGAGCTGCTTGTGCAAAGAGGTAAAATGAATAATTGCACATTTTTAGATTAAAAGTGCACTTATCTCAAATCATACGAGAGCAAATGTAATTTTCCCTTTGCGGGGGTTGAATTTAGGATCTGTTAATCAAGAAATGATTATCAAAGAATGATACTAACAGGGGACTCCGACATGGAGAATCGTATATATTGAAGTTTGATCGCTCTCTGAACTTGGGGACCAGAAACAGGTTAGGCGGGAGACAATCCTTGACACTTGGAATGTTGGTTGATTTGTACCATGAAAGTAGAGGGATCTGACCGTCTGAGATGCTAATGTTTCTTAGTAATTAAGAATATTGTATAATAGAGAACTCAACCCAAAAAAAAAAAAAAAACCTCTGAATGGTAACCCAAGAGGTTAAAAGTTTAAAATTTTAAATTAAATATCATAAATTTAAATATTAAATAAGGTGGGGAAGGATTTGAAAAAAGGAAAAGATTATTCTATCTTATATAATTTACCATTAGATGAACAAAAATAAAATAAAAAAAAATTCTTCTTCACTAAAAAATATATAAACATTGCAACCATACAAGAGCTTGAGATTTAACAGCTAAGTTATATTCAATCATAATTTATTTAGATAGAAAATAAATTGATTTTTATGGTAAAAAAATTTATCTTGGGATCTTGTCCCAACCATACATTCAACAGTCAAAACAAGTATAAACAACATGTTAAGCCCAACCAATCTCACATTCAACTTACTAACCTCCTCCAACAAGAGTAAATCTTGATGAAAAACATCGAGAAAGTAAGGTGTAAACCTCAAAAAGAGAGAAAAATATTTAAAAGAGAGGAAAAAACCCTTATAAAAGGGAAAAGAACTTTCACATTTAACCATTTACCTTAATTGTTGAAAGGAGGGAGGCAATGGTGAGGGGAAAGATGACCTATGTAAAAAAAAAAATGGATTCAAGTTTAGAGACGGAGAGGCCGATAGTAATAGGAATCATTGATAGTTATAACTGTAATCAATAACCATGCCCCTTGGTCCTAAAATAACTATGTTTTTCTTTAAATTATAGATGTGAGAGCAATTAATGTATTTATTTGTATTGCCTTGAAAAAGAAATAAAAAATAAAGAAGAACTTTTTGTAACAGAATGATTAATTAAAGAAAATAAATAACAATATGGTTAAAATATTAATAACAATTTATTTATCTTAAAAAATAAAAAAATGACAACTAATTTCAGATAAATTTTAAATAAAAAATAACAATCATTTGAAAATGAAAAGAGTAGTTGATATCTAATTTAAAAATCAACTTATAAAAACATCTTTACCGAACACCTTAATGTGTAAGAAAAAAACTTAAAACTATAATTATAAGCCAAATCAGACAAACTTTGTATTTTCCTCTATCTCACCTATTTTTCTCTTTGTTTTAATTAAAATGAAGATCGATTAAGTGATAATTCTTTTCATATAATTTTCATAGGATGTTATATGTTAAATAATGATAGACTATTTTTATACTATTAAAATTTATAATATTATATATATTTATTTAATAATATAAATATTATATAAAGTTATTAAAGAATTATCACGTATGATTTTAAAGAGAGGTACAAAATTCCCTGGGCAGTGTCGCTCTCAAGTGGAATGGAAATTGGAAAGTAGAAAGTAGAGTAGATGCTTTTTCCGGATCGATCTTCAACCGTTTCACACTCCCATCCCCAATCCATGTCACATGTTGTCAACTCACCGTTATTCCCATCACTTTCATAAAAAAAAAAAAAGTTATATAAAAAATAAAGAAATATATTAAGTAATAATAAATTATGGTAAAATCTACATTTCATGACATATAGTTAAAATCAAAATAATTTAAAGACAGAATTAGAAGCATAATCTATAGCACTAGTAACAAACTTGAACTATGCTTATGACGAATATAAACAATTAAGCAGAGAGAGTCATGTGCAATTACAAATTGAATTTATAATCACTATATGGGTTAAATAGGATTACTAATGTAGAAAGGAGAGTCACTATGAGTATTAAGGACTATTAGACATCCTCACTTATTTAACTAGCTTCTTAGAGAGAGTAAGGGATTTTGGCAACAAACAGTTTCCAACCCACAAGTTGTCGCCCTACTTGTTCTTAAAGAAGATCAACCAAGAGGGGTATAGGCCTTTTCTTGACAAGTACAAGGCCCCACAATCGCCTCCATATACTCCGATCATGTTCCCATCTTTACTGATACTCTTCAAACCCATGCTGTCAAAACTCATTAAGGGAACTAGAGCCCCTTTGCTAGCTTAAAAACCAGGCTTCCCACACAGACCATAGCCGGCTTTACCAACAACATCCCTTTTCTTCGGCAATTCGTTAGCTGATCGAGAATTGGTGTAAATCAGATTTGCCGAATTCGATTCCTGCCAAGATCCCATTCGAGGAGATGCACCAAAGTGAGATTTTTGCCCGTTAAATAGGAGAAACCCACTTCATTGGCAAGATCAATTCTAATCACAGCCTTCGAAAATCAACAGATGTAAACCCTAGAAAACCCAAAAAGTCTCTGCTTTGTGGTCCCTTGGGTTGGAGTTTCCAAAGCAAGACAGTGACAAGAGGAAGGAGGAGATCAAGAGGAGGAAGGGAGGCGTAAGAAAAAAGGAGGGATGAAGGAACTCTTATGCTAGAGAGAAATCCTAAAGAAGAAAACCCGTCGGCACCGCTTTCAATCCTAGAAGTAGTGCACGGGAGAAACCTTAGGGAGAAGAAACCCTAAGGAGATGACTCGATAACTTAAAAAAAAAAAATTACCTTTAATTCTCTAAATTTGATAATTCATTACTAAAATATTGTAAAAGGTGCCGATTAAAAAGAATAAATAAAATTTTAAATTTGAATTTTATGAATGAAAAAATAGATATTGAAGGAGTTTTTTTTTTTAAATATAATGTGACTCAATTTCAAATTAATTAGAGTTTAATATAATTTTTGAATACTAAGAAATTAATATTAAAAAAATATTGTAAAATAAAGGATAATTTTTTTCCAAGCCGCTACTACAAAGATTTACTTATGGACTCTCAAACGATTAAGGCTTCTCTTCAATTTTGTACAATAGACTCTAATCCCTACTTTAAGACAATATCTTATTTCTTTTAGCATTAGGGAGACATTTGGTTTTGTAAAACCCAAAATTCTATCTCAAACGTCGACAATGACAAGCGCAGTAATCTTACCGCTGTAAATGGAAGGTCTACCTGTTTTCTTGGTCTTGGTTTCTTTTTATATTTAAGATAGTAATTGAATCCAAGTTACCTCATCTTGACATCAATGTTAGCAAGATTAGTTTCAATTTCAATTCAATTGAGGCTTGATTTTTACCTTTAGTAATACATAGAAAACAGTGACTTTCCTCCACCATTCTTCCATCCCTTTCAAATCTCATTTTAGGATTGTGTCCATATCTTTTAGAGATTATATATGAAGAAGGTATCAACATCACAACCTCGGTTGTTCTTGTGATGAGGTCATAGTTCCACTAATGAGTTCTCACATGACATGGCTCTGTTCATTTTAATCTTTTAATTCCTGCTTTTTCTTGCTCATTACTTCATCTTGAGAATTTGGTCCTTATCTTTACATATTATAGAGGTCTAACAGAAAAATCTTAATTATTACCCACCAATTCCCACATGAAATAACAAAGTGTTAGGAAGTGCAAATGATGTAATAGTTGGCATTCACCTTCTATTAACAATGTGAACTTTAAAAATAGAACAAAAATGTTCTCCTCTATTAGGCGAGTAAATTCGAAGGATAGTATTAATTGGGGCAAACCTCCTATTTGTAAATTAAACATTTTTTCTTTCTATAATCAACCCTCTAAACTGATTTTTTTCTTAATTAACATTTTTCATAATTTAAAACTTATAAAAAAATAAAAAATTAACAATCAAATTCTCTATTTATACTTTGACTTTGTTAGTAATTTGAAATATTTGTGGGTTTCAAATTATAAAAAGTGTTGACCAAGATAAAAATTAGTTTAAAATATCAATCATAAAAAAATATATATCTAAGTGTAAATAAGTGTTTTGACTGTAATAATTTGTCTACATTTTGCAAACAGCATATTAAACTAAATTTTTAATTTTTAATTTTAGCTTTAAACCCACCAATAGCTATGGACTATAGCTGGAAATTTCTGTAGAAAGTAGAAGAAAAGGAGAAAAAGTGAGTCACTACAGGTGGAAACTTTCATAATTTCATTTTCCTGTTGCTGGGCATTAATTTTGCTACTCCCCACAAGGTCCCAGAACTTTCCGATGTATAATTCCCATTTCAAGGAAACGTGAAGATGCGATTCATTTATTTTATGTGCTAGTGGTCATAACACAATCAAGGAAAATACTATTATAGGACTAACTCACAAAAAGAGAATTAATGAAAGATGTCTTGATTTGATACCCACTTCCTGAGTTACACGTCCATCTCAGCCTTTAATTTCTTTATAAGTTCCCCTCATTTCTCTCCAATTCTCCTCTCTTTGCTCTCTCTAGCATTATTCCTCTTATCTTGTTTGTGAAATATATGGAGCTGAAGAGCTGCCTAGCGGAAGAACTGGCCAGGGCTGAAACAGTGCCAGCCGGGTTCAAAATCAAGAAGGGGAGCGTAATTCCTGCTAAGAGAAGGTTAGTGAAGAAAATGATGCTTGATTCCTTTCTCAAATCCATTTCTTCTGTTCTGAGCATAATTGTTCATCCTTGTGGCTCCTCCAAAGATTTGCCCTCGCCTGAGAATGGTTGTTTCCAAGTCGAACGGTGTCAAAAGTTATGAAGCCGGCTAGCATATATATGAAGATCTTTCTCCTTCCAAGATCATCATATCATATCAATGGCATAATGAGTCACTCATGACCAACACCATCATTAACCGTGTGTTATGCACGCCTCATGTATACATGTAATCATCATCATCCTTATGTAACTGTGAAAATGTATGATGCAATTAATAAGGTTGGGACATAGAGGAGGTGTCATGGCCACCTTCTTTCCCTTTTGTGGCTGGAAAAAGTTCAGAGGGAAAAAGGTGTACATAAATTGAGATCGAAGAAAATTAAGATGTCTTAGCAATTAAAATGTCAAGTATGATAATGAAAAAGTTAAAATATCTTTAATGAATTAACACACAAAAAAAGATTCATTAAAGATATTTAAATAATTTTATAAGAATTCTTGGTATTTAAAATATTAGAGCATTTTGATTTTTATTTTTCTCATATAAATTATGCAAAAAAAGTTTTTTGTATTTTATATATTTTTCAGTTCAAGTTATAAAATGATATAAATATCCTTAATAAATAAAATTTATTAAAAGTGTTTTGATATTTTTATAATTTGCCTACACAAAAATTATATAATAGTTTTAAAATTTTTTTATTTTGAGTTGTTGTATAATAAAAAATGATTGATATTTTACCCTCTTTTAACCCACCCCCACCTCGTATCATATAATTTAAATTTAAATTCTCTTCTTTTAAAATAGTAGTACCATAAAATTATTTAGATTTGGTAACTACTTTTTAATGATTTATACTTCGTGCATTTAATCCATTTCACTTGTTCCTTTTTCTTTTTCTCCTCTCTACTAATTGTTCTCCACACATGGCAATTAGTGATATGATATCAAGGGAGAATATTATGGAATCAGAGCATAAACTTTACTAAGTAACAAGTTTAAGTGTAACAGCTCATCAAATTAAAAAAAAAAAAAAAAGAAAGAAAGAAAGAAAAAAAGAAAGAAAGTCGATGCTTCCATCAATATCATATGTCGCTTAATGAACTAGCCTAATCACATTCTCTACGTGATTGGAGGGTAAGTATGTGCAGTTTTTGAATTAATTAGTTAGTCTTAATTAAAATCATGCTGCCTTTTTCAATTGAACCTAACAACTTTAGTTTTATGGGATATTACATTTGGAGATAGATACTGGGGCCAGATTAATATTCCTTTCTTTCTTTTTAAATTTCTCTCTCTTCCTGCGCAAATCTTTCAAGACCTTGCAAATCGACCCACAATCAATTATGTTTCTCCTGAAGTTGACTAACTACAGTACCGCTTTCCCTTCAATTAGGAAGCGTCCAAGAAGCTTTCCACAGAGCTTGGATTTCAAAGGGACAAAACTCATGTCTAATTTCTGAACAAGGACAAGGTAATTATTATTAATGTAACGACCACTAAATTTTATAAAATATTAATTTATAAATCTAAATTTAATTTAATTTAATTAACAAAATAATTAATAATTATAATTATTAATTATAATTATTAATTGATAATTAGTAAAATATATAATATTTATTAATTAAATTAAATTAAATTAATATTTTTCAAAATAATATTTTATAAAATTTAGTGACCATAATATTAATAATAATGACCATAACTTTGCCCTTAATTTCTGACATGGAAATTCTTTATTGAACCAAGTCAAATAATATATTGAGATGTCGATTCTCCCTTTTGTTTTTTTTTAATGATGTAGCTTCTTCTTTTCACACAACATTCCTTCTTAATTATCACGAGTAAAATGTTGTTTTGGAAGTTAAACGATTTCAGAGCATGACTTTCAAATTATGCTATGGAAGATATAGAGCAACCCATTATCCCTCCTCTATCAGATGGAAACAAAAAAAAAAAAAAAAAAAAAAAGAGAGGAGATTTTGGGATGAATGTCTCACAGCTAGCAACACTCTTCCTTATATTCCTTTGCTAAAATATTCCACTTTCCACCATAATTTACAAACACGAACTTGCAAAAAATACCTTCTGGATCAAATGCCAGCCCTAGAGTTGGAGCAGTCGAGCCTCGAGCTGCCAACTGGCCCAACATACAATTTTCAAGTCCATGTATGAACTACAAAGCACATTCTGGACGGAAGAATATGTATCAGCCCACGAGTAAAAGCGGCCTAGTGGCCCGGCCAGTTCCTGAACATAAAGGAGAGGAAAGACAGAGAAAACGCTGTCGTTTTCAAGCGCAACAAGCAATAGCCCCCTAATCAAGGACACCGACTTTATGAATTTTCATAATCAAGGACGCCAATTTCAGTTTTCTAAATCAAAGATTTTAATCCCGTTTGTCCTGCCGTTAGTAGTGCCCACCAACCCAATTATCAGCTTCATTTTTCTTCCTAGAAGTATGTTAAAGTATGTTAATTTCACATTGGACAGAACTTGAACCAATTCAAATTATTCAAGAAACGTATCTGAAGGGTCAAAATTTTTCATCTTCAGCAAAATTTTCTTTAATATTCTAATTGCTAAAAGAGTCATCTTGCTTTCTATGTAACCGTTATCCAACGGGTTCATAATTCAGACTCCATGCCCGCCACCCAAATTCAAAAACTGGAAAAAGAAAAAGGAGCAAAGAAATTTCCACCCTTTACCTTTTCTTACCTTTTCCCAAACCCATCAGACTACACTATATCAAAACATCTATCTATCTTCTGTATGTTAGTAACTATACTATTCTTGTTTTGGTTCTCTGCCTATTCCAAAACCGAGAAAAAATGGGTTCTTGCATTAGCAAATGCAGACCGAGGAAATACACTTTTGAAGAAGAGGAATTTGAGCACACTCAAGATAAGATTGTCATTTCACAAACCAGCTCAAAGAAAGTTTCCCCCTCTCCTCTTTCCCCTACCACTACCACTTCTTCCTGCTTCTCTGCTCCCTCCGTCACCTGCAATACTACTAGTACCTCTGACAGCTCATGCTCATCCTCTGTCTTGAGCTCGAAAGACAGGTCCTTTTCCAATGAATTCTTGTGGGCATGTGTCAAGGAAAACCCACATATAATCCGTATTAATTCAATCAAGGAGGCCGCTCTTGCATTGACTTCAAGCAAACGTCATGCTCAAAAGTTAGAATCTCCACCTAAAGCAGTGGTTGTCCCCAAAAAGGACAAGGGTTTTACACCACAGAAGAGAGGGAGGTCGAGTTCCCCAATAGCCCTACCTCGTCAGAAGAGCTTCAGGAAGGAGACTGAGGTTTTAAATTCTGGGTATTCTATGCCGAGCAGGATCCTCAAGTCGCCTTCTCCTAGTAGGAGATTTAGTGGAGAATTTGGCAGGGCAATTTCGTCGAACACATCAAAGGCAAATGGTTCAAAGCGTTTTCATGGTACTAAGGTAACTCCAGTTAATTCCGTTTCTTCCTCTCTAAGAAATGAGAATTTCCGGCAGGCGAGTCCGAGCATCGGTTCAAGTGGGCGGCTGCGACCGTATTTAAGAAATCGGAAGACTTGCATCCACCGAATTAGTTCCAAGATCGATGAAATTGCCGTTGCAGCGGCTCTCACGGAGCAAGACGGAGATGTTGTCATGGAGGACATTGACAATCCTCTTATCTCCTTAGATTGTTTTATATTTATTTAGAAAAATTGAGTGTGCATTCATTTTGAACTTAGACGACATATTGTTCTTAGCATTCCGGTGTTTGTTTGTTGTTGTTGTTGTTTTTGTTTTTGTTTTTTTTTTTTTGTTTCAGCTTGAGTAAACTCATAAATAACTTGTTTATAGCATTTTCGTTTCGTTCTTTTGAAGTCCTTTTTTTTTTTTTTTTTTTCTTTTCAAAATTAAAAGATTAGTGGTTAGGTTCAAACTTCAAAGAAAACACATTGGTTTTGTTGAGGTTCACACGAGCGTGAACGTGTCTAGATCTTTTAAGAATCCAAATGTTGATTGGCTCTCATTCAAACTCTTAAATGGCTTGATTTTCAAACCAGTAGTACCAAAATAGAATAGTTCAAAAATATAAATCATCTAAATAATTTAATAATATTTTTTTATAAGTAAAAAATTTTAAATTTAAATTATATGACATATAGGTAAAATAAATTAAAAAATAAAAAAAATTACCTTCTAAATTTTTAATTTTATAAAATTGGCTCAAAGTAAACAATCACTGATAAATTTAATTAAATTATTACTTTAAAAGTCTAATAAAAAATTAATGATAATCATTAAATTTGAGTTAATTTCTTAAAAATAAAAATTTAAGATGATAATTTACGTCAATTTTTTTTTAAAGTAATAATTTGCTTCTATGCTACAATTTTAAGAGTGAAACGGTATTCTTTGCCATTTAACTTATGTCTAATGAATAATACTCATACCTTAGTAACTCTATAATGAAATAAATTAAATTTTTAATTTTTATAAACATTATTTCCTATTTTTACATGAGTATAAAATATTACTTATTTTCAAAGAATAATGGAAGAACTATTCATTTGCCTGCACATATGCTTCCTTTCGTCTTGATTTAGACCATCATTCACTCCTTTATACAAATCTCTTCATAATGATATTAGCTTAAGTATCATCTTAATAAATTCAATTGACCAACCAATGATAGCAGCCACTGGCCCAAAAAAAAAAAAAAAATGATAGAATTAGCCTCAAGCCAGCAATGAGGAAATATATATATATACACACACATATAAATCATCATATGAAATCACATTTGGTTGGGGAAGAGTGAAAAGTAGCAATTAATCAAATTAAAAGTAATAAATGAAAAAAGAAACAAACAAATAAAATTTGCTTTGCCATTGATTTGAAAAACACATTCCTTCAAGTTTGTATCAAAGGATAGCAATGAGGCCTTGTGGGGCTACCATGTTCCCATCCCCTCCAATGGCAGGGTTGGGATCCTTGTAGGAAATTTTGGTGGGAGGCAAATTGTTGGCTTTGAAGGATCAAATTCTTGAGTATCCATTGATAGTCATGAGCTCTTAGAATGAATTTCTCTATTTTTGTGAATGGATAGGAGTTTCATGCAGCGGTCAGTGTGAAGGAAGAGTCATCATGCTGAATTAAGCAGTCCAACTGTTGGTAGGTTTAATACCTCCACACATTGGAACCGGATGGTTTATTGAATTTTTGAAATCCTCTTATGCACAAGTTCTTTGAAATTATGACAAAATTTGGTGAATAGAATGGTTTTATCCTTTATTGGTTTTTTAGTTCACCCGTTTTTTGGGTTTTGACCAAATTTTATCTATTTTGAATAGGTTTGACCTTACACTAGTTTTTTTTTTTATCATGAATCAAACTGTTTTTTTTACAATTCATCAATTTAATTTATAGTTAGATTGATCAATCTGGTTTGAATTTTAAAACATTGATATTAATGATGAGTTAAATTTTTATATATATTAATATGAAAATTTTGTCTTAATATTATTGATATTTGAATGAATTTTATGAAATTTCACTTGATTTTACATATTTTTCTTCCTTTGTGTAAAAAATGACTGAATGGGAAGAAGTTAGAGCTTTTAAAACCAAATTGAAGGGATAAAAAATATGAGGATTAAAGTGTGCAAAAACCAAAAATTAGGGATCAATATTGCCATCTTGCCTTAAAAAATTACACTTTGGCCCAAAAGTCTGACGTGGAGTTTGAGGGTATCCGGCAAAACTTACAAAAATACTTACATTAAGAATATTATTTATATATTATAAATTAAAATTTTATTAAAAAGTTTAAAAATTATATTTTAAAAATAAATTTTTAGTAAGTTTTAAAAAAATTTAAATGAATATTTTTTTCAAAACTTATTTAAAATTGGCAGAAGGTGCAATTCAGCCCCTCTACGTCCATTGTTGGGCACATCAGCCCCTGTACCTAAAAGTAGAGCAAATCAGCCCCTCCACTTGACAAAACCCGCAAATCAGCCCCTCCACTTGACAAAACCCGCAAATCAGCCCTTCTGCTGACGATGACCTCATCAAATGTCATCTTTCCGTCCACATCCTTGCTACTCTGTTACCAAGAAATGGCTTGGTGCTGATATGGCATTGGGTAGGTGACGTGGTCAATTTAAATTACAAAATTACTAAAGAATCCTCATCTACTTTTTTTTTTCCATTCATCTTCTCTCTCCTCTTTTACCGTCTCTATCTTCATATTGCATATTTACTCTTTTTTTTCAATAGTTGAAATTAAAATTTTCTTCAGATAAATCTAAATTTCAAAAAATTATTAAAGTAATACTCAAAATATGAAAATATAAAAGTTAAAAAAAATTTTAATCCTCAAAATTAAAGTTTTAATTTTGAAATTTTTTTTAAACTTTTATATTTTTATATTTTGAGGATTACTTTAATAATTTTTTGAAATTTAGATTTATCCGAAGAAAATTTCAATTTCAACTATTGAAAAAAAAAAGTAAATATGCAATATGAAGAGAGAGACGGTAAAGGAGGAGAGAGAAGATGAATGAAAGAAAAGAAAGTAAATGAGGATTCTTTAGTAATTTTGCAATTTAAATTGACCATATCACCTCCCCAATGCCATATCAACACCAAGCCATTTCTTGGTAACGGAGTAACAAGGATGTGGACGGAAAGATGACATTTGATGAGGTCATCGTCAGCAGAAGGGCTGCTTTGCGGGTTTTGTCAAGTGGAGGAGCTGATTTGCTCTACTTTTAGGTACAGGAGCTGATGTGCCACAATAATGGACGTAGAGGGGCTGAATTGTACCTTCTGCCTTTAAAATTGACTTAAGAATTAATTTTTAAATTTGTCCCCATAAAATTTTAAAGGTTTAAGTACTATTTTCGTCCCTCAACTTTTCACTTTGAGACCAAAATTTTTTTTCACCTTTAAAAAATATCAAAATTATTCTTAAATTTTCATTTTTGATACCAAAATAGTCCTTTCGTTAGTTAAGTGACAGGTGACATGTTATCTTACCACAAAATAATTGAAACTTTTTAATTTTATCTACGTGTAAATTCTAGCTAAGAAAATTTAATTTTTTTATTATTATTTCATCATTTTTCAAAACTAAAGACAAAAATAAAAACTTCATTTTCTTTCTTATTCTTTTCTCTCTCTGGTCGATTTTTCTTCCTCTCCAAAACAAACACAGATTTGCCCATGATGGAAACTCATTAAGTGGAGATTGCTTTAGTTTTTTTCATGAGCCTCCATGCTTTCTTCCACTCATCAATTTTAGCTGTTGCTGTTGCTGCTTCGACTGTTGCTGCTTCTTCATCAAAACAAACCCAGATCTGGGTTTGTCTCAAGCCCCGATCTGGGTTTGACAAACCCAAATGGGGACTTGAGACAAACTCTACATTTCTTGGATCTTCGCCGCCACCTTCGAAATGCCAACCTGGCTCTTCACCGCCACCTGATCCGCCTTTGCATCCAGCTCCTTCCTATTTCCTCCCCCATCACCCCTTGCTTCTTCATCTTCAAGATTTGTCGATGTTTCCTCTTCTTCCACACCTTCTTGCACAACCCCGTGGGTACCTTCTAGAACCCCAGCACCAGTAGCTCCATCATTGTGCACGAACAACAACAGCAAACACGCCACGCACTCTGCCGTCCCCGCACCCACCACCTGTGCACCTCCTCCCTTTTGTCGCCTCAACGATGATATCGATGACTTAGTACTATTGTCTGCGAATAGAAGTGGCTATGTCCGCCCGTTCACCGGCGTCAATCTCATCAAAGTCTGACAAATCATGTTTGGTGAGATGGGTATCAAAGAAACCGAGATTTCTTGGATTCTTTTACACAACAACAACAAGAAGAAGCAGCTAAAGAAACTAAAAAAATTCAGAGATAACGGGTGAAGGGTAGAGAAGAAAAGATCGGGTATTTTTTTTTTCTGTTGAAAAGAAAATCATTGAAGGATTTCAGTCCAATCGGAAGATCCTCGCCGTTCTCGGCATTTGCCACTGCCTTCCCTTGCTCGATCTCGAATCCGTTGTAGATCAATTCACTGCTACCTACAAAAGTTACAGCTCTACAAAAACCCAGATCTGAGTTTGAGAAAAACCCAAATTTGGAGAATAAGAAGAAGGGAGAAGGGAGAGAGAAAAAGAATAAGAAAAAGAAAGAAGAAGGATGAGCAAGGAAAGGGAGAAGGAAGGTTGGTAGAGAATGAGTAGGCAAAACCCAGATATGGGTTTGAGAAGAACCCAGATCTGGGTTTGTTTTGGAGAGGAAGAAAAATCGATAAGAGAGAGAAAAAGAATAAGAAA